TCCGGCCCTTTTCTATTTCTTTTAAAAGATCTATTAAGCCTATAATTACCTAAAAATAATAATAGATAAACCTATAATAGAAATTAGTAAATTTAAAAAATATTTAAATATTATAGAATAATTCTAGTTCTAGCTATTTAATAATACTATAAACCTATTTAGGATCCGTATAAATACTTTCTATTCTAATAAGAAAGCCTAAAAATTTAATTTCCTTAATATTAAACTTATATTTACTAAATTTATAAAACAGGTTATTTTTATATAGCCTAGTAAATACCTAGTATATATAATTATAGTATTTATTCTTATTTCGGAAATAAATAAAGATATTATTTAAATAAATAACTATAAAATAATCCAGGAGCCCTATAAATATAGTATTAATATATACTTGAAATATAGTATTAATATATACTTGAAATATAGCTAGTATATTAGCTAGCCTAAAAAGTATTATAAGATATTTAAAATAGCTATAATAAGTCCTAAAAGCCGTTTTTTATTTATATTTTTTATAAATTCTTATTTAATAATATATATTTTTAAGATCTAGCTTTATAAAAATCTTAGCTTTTTAAAGCTAATTAAAAGTCTTATTAATAAGAGAAAGCGGATACTAATTCTTAATTATAACTTAGTTAAATCTATAATAATTAATATAAAAATATAATTCTCTATTCTTTTTGGAAATAAAAAGAATAGGTACCTTTACTAGGCTTTTATTAAACTTTATCTAATATTTATAAAACATATCCTATAAATATAGATATAATACTTTTAGTTAGGTTTCTAATAAATTATATAAAGGCCCGTACGGAACCATACTATCTGTATTAATAAAGTATTTAATACTACTAAGATTAGGAAGTTCTGAAGCTTTATTAGAATTAAAAACCTCTAAGAAATCTTTATATTTATTATTCCGGAAATAGATAAATATCTCTAAGGCCCCTTTCTAAAAGATATTAATTTACTATATTAAAAACTCCTATTTAGTATTACTAGAACCATATAATAAAGCAGAGACCTAGTAACTATTATAAATATATAAAGCCTATTATCTAGGATAGTTATATTTACTTTTAGTTAAGAATAAGACTTGAGATACTAGCTTAAAATACTAGTTAAGCTTCTTATTAAATTCTTTTAGTATTAGGATCTTAATATTATTAGGCTATATAGGTATATATATCTATTATTTCTTAATATAGTCTATATATTATATAAGAGTTACTTTATAAAATTCCATACTAAAAACAAGGCTATAAGAGCTAATATTCTTATATTTATAGAACCGGAACTTAAAAGAATATATCTTACTATAATTATCTATAATAAATATCTTAAGATTATAGGCTTAATAAATCTTAAATCGGTTTCTATAAAAGATTATAAATTCTTGGTTATATTTAGCTAAGGTAATAAAGTCCTAGCTTTAAGCCCAATTATTATTAAGGAAATTATAATCTGATCTAGTATTACTAAATCTACTATATATCTCTAAGGTATTTATTTCTAGCTATATTAATTTTACTCAAATAATTATATAAAGTAATATACTTTTTTTATTATAGCTAAAATTATTAATATTTAAGATTTAGCCTTTCCTTTTTCTTATTTCTTAGGAGGGTTTTTTCTGGAATACTTTTCTATAATAATAGTATTAACCTGCTTCTATAAATACCTTAACTCTTCTATAGTTTTAGCCTTATTAGGGTTCTACTAAGCCTATTTAGTATATTTAAAATACTTTATATTTCCTGAGAAATATTCTTTCTATTTATAAATCTAATAAATTATATTTAAAGTAGAATTAGTACTTTATTAAGGCCTTAAAGGGGCCAAAATATTACCTAAGGATTTCTTATATAATTTTCAGAACTTATTCTTCCTTTTTTAATAGCCTTATAAATTAGAATTTACTAAGTTAGGGTTTTTGGAAATAGAGTTATTCTTACTAGATTCTCCTGTTTTTACTTTTCTTAATTTAGAATAAGTAATATACTTTATTTTCTAAGCTTTTTTAAGTTATTTAGAAATAGATATTATCTTACTTTCTAAAAAAATAAATATAAGTATCTAATAAGTCTTATAATTAGATAAAATAGTATTAAGAATCCGGACCCGGTTTCTTTTAAAATATAGGTCCTAATTAATTTCGAGATTAATTATTTGAATATATAATTTAGTAACTATCTTATTATTCTTCTAATAAAGATCTTGGAATTCCTTAAAAATATCTTATTAACGAATTTAAGATACTTGAAATATATTAGCTAAATAGGCCTTAAATTACTTCTAATAAACCTTATATAATAGTAGGCTTTACTTTATTATAATCTCCTAAGTATTATAAGGTTTATCCTTAAAAACACTTATAGTAAAGTTAATTCTAGAAAAGTATTTATTATAAATCCAAGATTAGGTCCTAAAAACCGCCTTTTAGAAAAATATAAATATTCTTTATTTTTTAAAGAACTTTCTATAATATAAGTTAGATATCCGGATCTTAAAAAGCTTCTTTTAGTCCAAATATATCTTTAGGATATTATATAATAGCTTCTAATAAATAATATTGAGATTATTCTTAAAGCTTATTATATTAGGAAAGGAAATAGGTTCTAATCTCATTTTAGGAAGTTCTCTAGTAGAAATTACTAAGGAAAATAGGATAGACTTATAAATAGAGTTTCTATAAAATATAGTAAACTATAAGGTATTTCTAAGAATATTCTTATATTACTTCAATTATAGGATATATTAGTTAATTATATCTACTAATTCTTGCTTTTATTAGAGTACTTCGACTTTAGTATATAAGCCCTGTTCTATAGCTTAGGCGGCAGTAACTCGGGCATTAATCTCGGTATCTTAATTATTGCCGGGATTATTTCCGTTATTATTACTGGCTCTCGGAGGCTCCTGAAAGGCCCTATTAAAAGTATTAGACGAGCCTTTGCTATTACCCGTATTAGGGTTAATCTGATCGACTTCCTCTATAGGAATAGCTTTGGTAAGGAGTTATACATTTTGCAGATTTCGAGACATGATTACTTATCGAACTACCTCCTTTAAGGGTAGAGAGATTAGCTTATAAGGTATTTATTAGTAGGTAATAAGATAATAGAATAAATTAGTGAGTTATGAAACCATAGTATTAAATTTAGTATAGAACTAATCTCTATCCCTCCTATAAGGTCCAGGGAAGCCCCCTCTAAATAGGAGGCCCCGATAACGTATATATAATTAGTGATTTATAAACCTAATACTTATAATATAAACAGTGGTTGGTTGTGAAGTCGAAGGGCCTCCGATCTCCCTGATCGACACCCGCGACATCCGAGGTTCGTCACATGCCCTTAAGTCACGTGCGACCCTATATACATCACACTGGATAAATAAGAGAGCGAGTAAGGGAAGAGAACTTAAGAGAAATCGTAATAAAGAGTAGAATTAGGAGTATATTATAAGACAGAATTCCATGTCTACTCTTATAATAACATTATTATTTAGTATTAGGATAATAAGCTCGGGAGCTTATCTTAATACTAGGGGCTTATTACGGTCCCTCTAGAGCCCGTTCTAGTTCCCCTAAATCCTTCTCGCTAAGAGTTAACGTTCTCAATAGCCACGCGACCGGGGATAAGCATATCCTAGGCAAGAAGGGTGAGTAGAGGTGAGGCGGTAGAGAGCGCATAATGGAGGCGGGTAAGGATGGGTGAGGTTAAGGTGAAGCAAGGGTGAGTAGAGCGGCGAGGTGTCACGTGCGGGGTGGCTTGGCGCACCCGCAAAGTGAGGTAAGGAATGGCGCGAAACAACAGAATATCTGACATGTTCGGAGGTCCCTAGCGCTAACTTCCTCGGGAGCTGATGTGTCCAGGTCGCAGACTGGCTCAATAGGCTAGAGACTGGATATGATGAGTTTGGATATCCGGCAGGATCGCATGAAGAAAATAGTGGGAAGGGATACCATTGCCCGTTTATGTATTAGGTAAGTATAGAGGGGAGATAGGAGATAGGAGAGGGAGGAGATGAGAGGATGTACCTGGCTTTATAGAAACATTAACGCAAAGCATATTTAAACCCTAGTTATATCCAATTATGGGTGCGTATCCAATTCACTGTATAATAAAAGACTCTTAAAAAAGCATTATGATACTCTTTCGACAGAAAATTGAGAGGAGAACCGCTCCTGGACCAAATAACTATCTCTTATACGCTTATGTTTTCCCACGGGGATGTTGAAACCGATATGAGTGTGTCGATCTCCTCTATTCCTAGCGCCTGCTGTAAGTGTGTAGGATCTTGATGGCTTAGAAATTCGGCTCTCCCTTATTATGCGGGAAGTTGTTTCGGGTGACGAAAAGGGGTTGGGAAAAGGGGACTAATCTGGCGGAATTAGGATTAGCGGAACCCAGCGAAGCGAAGCTTCATTTCGCTTGAGATTTGAAGAAATTATTATCTGGTCGACGTGTTTTTCTTCTTCTTTATTCGCAGTTTTTTCCCGTTCTTCGACATCGGAAAGATTCCGATGCTTTGTGCTAACCAATAATCTTTGTGGAGGGACCATTGGCAGCAGTGCTAGCCGATTTTCGATTCTGGATGTTTCGGTGACCTCGAAATTTTAATTTCGCGGATCAGTATGTCTGCAAGGAAGACACAACAAAGTATCATTCACTCTCGCGAACCGATGACATGTCCACAAGTGTGGCTTGCCAGGGGTCCTGAGACATTGAAGGCTGAGGTGTCGTGTCCGGTGTCAGAGCAGGTCACCAAGACCGATGTTGCTGACCATATTCCTTCTTGAACAAAAAGACATGAACCGGAGCCTGGATTTTGATTATTTCTCACTGCGATGGCGCATCGTCAAACAGGCCTTTGTTCAGGCCATTCATTGGTGGTGGCTGCCTACGAATCTGCAGCCTTGTCTCATCATGAGTCAGCTCGGCACCCAGCATCAGCCGGGCAGCCTTACCTCACATCTTCCTAAACTACTCCATCTTTCTCTCCCGTCTTGACAACCGAGCTTTTAAAATCTACTACCTTTTTCTCTCTCCCATTCAAGAGGAGCGAGTCCTTTTCACACAACATCACAAGAGCTGATATCCGAGCGCTTTTCAGGCCACGTACCAGCAGCCTCGCCATGGCCGCCGAGGATCACTTCACACAGCTGCTCGTGACAGCAACCCAAAACGGTGACCTCCCGCTCATAAAGTCCCACTTTCCTACTCTTCCCCCTTCGTCTCCGATCCTGAAAGCCATCGCTCTGGCCTCCCTCTCGTCCCACCAACCGGAAATTCTCAGATGGTGCTTCTCGCAAGGCTTCTGCCTCCCACCCTCCAGCCTGAACTCCGACTTCTACCATTCTGCTTGCGCCTCCCAGTCTCCCGCCATCTTCCAGGTCCTCGTAGAAAATGGCTTCGACCTGAACTCTCACAATTCCGAATTCTTCGGCTGCGGGACTGCCCTCGTGGTCGCCGCCGTACACGGCAACATCTCCTTCGCTCGCTGGCTTCTGGAGAATGGCCAGGATGTCAACGCCGGCTTCAGCTGTGAAGCTATCGTCTATGCTATTGGCGGCGAGAATCGGAGCTTGGATATGGTTGACCTGTTGATCAAGCACGGGCTAAAACTTCAAGGAACCGGGGCTGCTATTGGAGCAGCGGAGAAAGACGATGTTACTATGTTGAGACTGTGTTTGGGGAATGGGGCAGGGTTGGAAGAAAGAGAGATTTGGTGGCTTGTGCCGATGGATGAGGGGGATGTGGAGGGCACGGCATTGTATAGGGCGTGTAGAGCGGGAGCACTTGCGTCAGTGCAGGAGTTGGTGAATAGGGGTGCGGATTTACAGTGGAAGGATGAGAGGGGGAGGGATTGTGTGGGTGTTGCGAGGGAGATGGGTCGGTTGGAGGTGATTAGATGGCTGACAGAGAGGGGGTTGGTGAAGGAGGAGGCCGTGAGGGTCAGGGAGTTGAGGATGGTGGATGAGAGGAACTGGGCTTGGAAGGGGGAGTTGCCGGATGTATTTTGTGTTGATTGAGATGAGATTACCTTTTGAGATGCGTTAGATTTGAGCACTCTGGAAGACGAGAGTTGTTGGATATTTAGCGAAGAGGATCGATTGATGGCGTTTACTTATATGGGAAGGTACCTGGGAGTCTGCTTTACTTTGATGGGGAAATTTTCACACCCGAGACTGCTTCCGCGCGAGCTTGAATTCGCCTGGCTTTGTTGAATGCAATCAGACGGGTTGATGCTCAGGCAGGCTTTGGTCGCCGAAGATTTTGCTATAGAAACACAATCGTTACGCTGATTATGCACTCCAAGTGGAGCCATTTCCGGCTCTCATATCCTCTAACAATATCAAGAAGCATTCAGAAAACCAGTATGCAAAATCAAGTTTACATTTATATATTGTTCGTAGTAGCAACAATACCCAAACGACCGTTTCCCTCAATGGTAGTGGACACCGATCTGGGAGGATTTTCCATAGGAGGACTTCGACGGGCAAACGTCTACGAGGAAGCGGTTCTCAAAGCAGTGCAGGTGATGGTGATGGCGGCAATGAAGGTGGGAATGGGCGCGGGCATAAGAGAGCCAAGAAAAATCCTACTGCAGAGAGGTCTGATAGCCACGAGGAGTACGGCCTACCAGGAAAACAAGCGGTTCCTGTACAGTCTGAGAATGCTAGTGGAAGGAGAACTAGTGGTCGTCCATGGAAGCCTACTATCAAGGCGACTGAAGCCACGCTAACCGTAGCTAGGAAGAAGAATCATGTGATGCTACGGCAGGGAATGGAACCCAATTCTCAGAAGTTATCTAGCAACAGGTGTGCAGGGCGAGCTAGCTCCTCTCGATCCAAGGGAGAGAAGGGAGGCAATGTCACAAGTTCACAACTCTAACACCAAGAAAGAAGCATAATTTAGAAGACGAATATGCTGATGACGAGTTGCCCCTGGTTTACCTACTGCTTCGATGAGGGAGAAGAGAATTGCGAATAAAACATCGAAGACGAAGAGCGACGGCAAGAAGGGTAGTTCGAGGCTCTCGTGGTCTAACGGAGGAGGAGATAAGGCTAGAAAGCCAGTAACACGGGAAAAACTGAAGATAAAGGGTGGTGGTAACAAGAAGATTAATGGAATAGGGGAAAGCCCTTCGAAAACACCGGTGCGAACGAGAGTTGATTAGAGCCCGAGGAAGAGGGAGAGAAGAACGTGAGACTTCACTTGTTAGAAGATCAGACTGGAAGAGCGAGGGAGGTAGCTTGGTCGCATGGATCTTAATTTAACAAAATTTCAACATCTAATATGATCTTCGTATTTGTTTGGGTCAAAGAGAAAAAGAGAGCAAGGGGGGTGGCGGAGGGAAGGGAGTGGAGGAGGTCTTAGCTCACGGGTAGCTGTAGTAGATTAGCCGTGAAGCCTATGCCGACATTATCTCCTCGTTTCCCGTCTTCTCTTTTCTCTCCTTTTCTTACACTTTTTCACTCTACAAGGAATTTCCTGATGTACGTCGCTTCGAGGTGAAGCTCTCAGTGACTTCTTCGCTCGTCATTGTTTTTCGTTATCAATTGCTGATACTTCTTTGACGCCAAATTTCATCTTGATTACCGGCAAGATGGCAGTGCGGCTCGTGCAACACACCCCCAAGTCGAAGTCCCTCCAGCAGCAAGGATACGCATAACAGGGCATATGCAACCACCAACCTCTACCAGCAGACAACTCCTGCTCTCAAGATGTCCTCGCTACACCCCTTGCCTTCCCCTCAGCCATCGGCACGCACTCGCTGAGTCGCTCAATAGCTCTATCATCTAGGAAGAAGGGTTTCGTGTATTAACCTACTCAGACTTCTAACGAGATTTGCGACTGTTTCTACTCTATTCTCCCTTTTGCATTCCCTAAATCGTCATGAACCAATACCGAGTCGGTGCATCCCATTCCATGGAGACCTCCGCCTCCATATCTTCCACCGCAATGACCTTCTTCGACTCCATTGACAGATTATACGCATCCGCCATGACAGCCCCAAAAATCTGAGCGCAAATATACCTCTTCTTGCCCATACTCTCCTGTCTCGTCTCCGGGTCGTTCTCAAATGCCCCCTCAGGACAGAGAATCATGGCATGTTGGAGTGAATCTGCCTTCCATCGCCGTTTGACACGCACAATCATTCCGGTTTGGAGGCGTTCCTGAAAGGGTGCCGTTGGCTTTTGAGACGCCTCGTCTTCTGACGCTATGGCAGAGCTGACTTCGGATGGAGCAGCGCTTCTGGCTGTGCGCGAGTCTATGTGTAATCGCCAGAGCTTGTCATAGAAGGCGCGGGCGTGCTCGGGGGAGATGTTTGGAGTCTTGAGACAGCGAGAGACGAACTCTCCTTTTGGAAGCTTGCAAAGCTGAACCCCATTTTCCGTTGGGGCGAGAATGGAGGAGGAGACCGCCGGGCTCCCAGACTGTTGACTTATTGTAAGCAAAGAACCTTCGCGTCTGAGGTGAAATAACTCACGTTTTTCTCAATCCATTCCGTCAGAGATTGATGAGACCAGGTACTCGGTATGTTGATATTGTATGGCGCAGGCTTGGCCTTCGGAACGGCTACTCGAAGTAACTCGGCATATCGCAGTGTATTCTTACTTGGTCCAGCGTCTGCTGCATTAGCCTTGACGCATGCCAACACAGCTGTCCTACAGTATCGGTCGCCCTTCAAATCGAAGACATGCTTCAACACCTTTGTAAGAACGCTGCTCCGAAATGGAACATGAACATTCATCGCTCTCTTGTTTGTGGCAACACCATCCGTCATATTCCACATGGCTCTTCCCCGGATACAATCCTTGAGTGTTGAAAGAGACACGTTGATATCACGAGTCTCCTTCATTCGGTCTTTGTTATGCTCCTTTGTATCCCTGTCCACCTCGCTACCAGCCAGATCGACGAGGAAGAGCAGGCCATCTGGAGCGTCAACAACATCTTTATTGACGATCCTAATACGGCAGACCGCGTGAGAGCGAGACGAGCTATCGTTTTTAGAAGTGGGTGCGCTCTTCCGAAATGACATGCTGCGCTCGATATGCGAAATAAGTTCTTCTGCGGTGGTTGGCTTTTCCTCGACAGCAGCTACGAGCTGGGATTCGCCAAAGGCATCTTCCATAACAACTATCTTCCGGCGATCGTTCAGGAGGTCTATTTCCTTGTCAGAACTGAAGAGTCTATCTTCGTAGCATCTCAGAGTTTGATAAAAAACAAAGCAGTCAAGACTTACCAAAAGCTTCCTTCCCGACAAGCTCAAACGCGCAAATGTAAACATCACGGTTTCCTTCAAGGTTTCCACGCATAAGTTCTGCAGCAGCCAATCTCTCCAGCTCGCTCACGCTGTACGTCTTTCCAGATCCTGTCTGCCCGTAGGCAAACAGAGTACTAATGCCGCCTCCCCATGCCCATGGAACCAACGGTGCGACAAGGCCATTGTAGACATCCTTCGATGTCTGATTCGGACCATAGACCTTGTCAAGTCGAAAACTGGAAGACTGTGAAGGTACATCAGAACTCGCTATTTCAAAACAGAAAGAGGGTCTTTCACACTTAATGCTGACTGTCCATTGACCTTGCGCCGTAATTCATGGACATCTGCAAATCCTGATTCAGGCCGTACCCTGATACCTAAAACTTCGTTCTCTTCAATCTCCTTTGGGAGCAACGGCCGCACGCGTGCGGCAATTAGTGTATCTCCTCCTGACTCGCCGCCATCATCCTTGGAATGATCACGAGAAGGTTTGAAAGCAGCGACCTGATTAATGTAAGAATCTCTGTTTTCTTGAAAGAATGCATCCATAATGTAAAAAAAAACTTTTCTCTCACGCAAGTTTTCAGTTGTCGAGGGAGGCGCTGTTTTGTTTATCAATAATACTCTGGGTTGCGGCAAGTTACCGAGAAGCCGAAAGCCTGTGCCGGCTCCAGGCAACCACTCTTGGCTTGCTGTTATTGGGCCAGCTTTCAATCTTGACTGAAACAACGGCACTGAATACCAGGCAAATCAAATCAAATGACAATAAATTGTTTGTAATTGCAATTTGCTAATTTGCTCGCAGCAAATGTGATATACGGGGGGTTGTCCAGGCATCCAAATTGAATACTGAGACTTTTGTTGAATAGCGCAGGAACAACAAACCTATCGGAGTGGAAAATAGATCATTGCGATTCGACAACCTGTGCGTAGAATGAAACCCGAACAGAAAGGAGAAAATATCTCGAGAAGACGTGAGCTTCGTAAAGACTAAGAATGAGACAAATCTGGACAATCAGGATTAGTAATAATACCTAATACATTAATATGCTATTAATACTAGGTAGTATTACTCAAGTATTACTAATATTAATATATCAATAAAGAATTAATTCTTATATTACTTTTTACTTTATGTTCTTTAATTTTTATTTTCTTTACTTTTCTTATCTTATATTATAAATTTAAAAAATTATATTCTTTAAAAAAATTCTGTGATGTGTGCAGGGTCGCACGTGACTAAATTGCATCTAACAGACCTCGGGTATTAATTAGGGAAATTAATAGCTCTTATATATTACTACTATATTATTATTATTTATATTATTAGAGTTCTTATTTAAAGAAAGCTCTCTTAGACCTTATAAGAAAAATAAAAGTTAGTATTATACTAAATTTAATATTATAGCTTTATACTTTACTAATTCATTTTCTTGTTTTATTACTTACTAATAAATACCTTATATATAATATATTTCTAAGTATGTCTTTCTTATATATTTTAATTCTTTTTATATAAGTAATAAAAATTTCTTATAATAGCCTTTATATTAGGCTTAATAACTCAAATTACTTCTAGAGTAAGGTATAGCGCTATTTACTATAATAATATTAGCTTAATATTAATAGTATTAATTACATTAATAATTATATAGATCTAGCACGCGTTTAATTTTAGTTTGCATAGTTACAGCAAAAATCGATTAAGTTTTGGTGGGTAAAACTGAGATTTAGCTGAAACTCCTAATTTTTCTAGAAAACAGGCTTAGCGCGAATATCACTCACTGTATCTGAGGCCAAGCTCTAACTTATGCGGGCGAAGATCACCCGCAGCCCACTGAAGCCAGGAGCTCGATCCTTGGCCTCCAAACTCAAAATGAGAATGCCATCCATCTGATTCGCCATAATCTTCACTGGAGGCCCTCCGATCGCCCTCAATTCGGTACGCCGTTCTATCCGAATCAAAACAATATAGAAGGTAGACACGCTGGATCAGGGGAAGGAGTCAGCTATGATCTCCCAAATTGGTGCGCATCCTACCCCACCCTGCTTCATTCGGAATCATTAATCTGGATGCACTGAAAAACAACGCAAAGCGGGACCTGGAAAGCTTGAACTCTGCCCCTGCCAATTGCTGCCCTGCGGGTCGCTGCTTAAAGAAGGACTCGGAGGGGGATCCCACACCGATCCGCGAAACGATGCAATTTGTCCTCCAGCACTCACCCCTGATTGCAGATCGACATTAGCCACAGGTAGGAACGGAGGCAAGGGGCATCTTCTAGTCATAAAGATGTTCCCTTGGTACGTATTTGTCTTGTTCCGACTTTCTGCGGCGCTGGTTCGTGAGGAGTCTTCGAATTGGCCTGATCATTAGTTGGACAAAGTCAATATGGTCCGGATCAGGCCCTGGGGAGCGACTGCTTTGGCTGCTCTCTCCATCTCTCGACATGCCGCTGCCTTCAACAACCCTCAGAGTATGCCTGTCTGGTGTGGAAAGATATATAAAAAGGAGTGAGTGGCGATGAACTATCCAACAACATGATATCTAACGAGGGCAGCTATCCTGCTAATGATCCAGGAGGGCAATTCCAATTTCCGCCTCCCAAAGTTGAACCTTTGCTCTATCTTACCATCCAACCAAGGTATACAATATTCCTGGAAAGCGACGAATCGAGTTCCTTCATCGTGAACGCCCCGATATCTCACATTTTTGGTTAGCTGTTCCCCAGCCCTCAACAAACCCCACGCTGACCCACCAAGGCAAATCCTACAAGAATGGAAGTTACGACAGCCCAGGGAGTTCTAAAAAGAATCTATTTGCCACACTGGACTTTGAGATATACAGTGAAGAGTCCGGACACCTTCTGAAAACCAGCTCTGTCCCAGTCAATTCAACAGGCAACGTCGTCGGATTCTCGTTGTCCTCATTCAAGCCTCGATTCAAGCCGTATGCTGTTTCTATAAATGGAACTCCCCCAGATGCACAACAATCGTTTACTGCTAAGACTTTGATCTATGTTCTGCCATCACGTTCCTACGGCAGTGCTGTCAAGATTGACAATCTCTATGGTGGACTCTACGTTCAGAATGGGTTCAACAATTGGAAGGGCTGGTATGCCATTTTCCCAAACGGTGGCTACGCAGATGGAGGCTATGTCAGTCCGTCAAACATCAGCTTCACACATTTAGACACCTACGCCTCCCAGGGGTTCAATACGATAAATATCCCCCCCGATGGAAGTCTTCCTGATCAGTCATATCCAGTGGCAGAATTCGAAAAGTACTGGGACAATATGGATCAGCTGAATCTCTTCAATCTGTATGATATGCGTTCTGCGTTCCAAAACGAAACTCGGATCAATGAGCAGGTTGCGCTTTGGAAGAACCGGACCACGCTCCTCAGTTGGTATACGGCAGATGAGCCAGATGGTTCGTTCATCCCACTCGACCAAAGCTCGTACTGACCACGCTAGGATGGGAGTACAACCTCAATTCAACTAAACTAGCATATGATCAAATTAAGGGGCTGGATCCATACCATCCGGTATCCCTCGTACTAAACTGCCAAAATTTCTACTATGAAGAGTACAGTGCCGGCGCAGATATCGTTTTCGAAGACGCCTACCCCATCTCCATCAATGCTACGTATTCCATCCCATGGGGCATTCCATGCAATGCCACCTACGGTGACTGTGGATGCGATAACTGCGTGGGAGAGCTGACAGATGTCTCCACTCGTCTGGATGACTTCCAAAATTACCAAGCCAACTTGAAAGGCCAAGGGAGCAAACCTACTTGGGCTGTTATTCAAGCCTTCGGGGATCAGGATTACTGGACCAGCATTCCCAGTGTTGCAGAAGTGGAAAATATGATGATGCTGGCTGTGAACCATAATGCAAAAGGCCTTTCGTATTGGCTATATCCAAGCACAGCCGACATCAACCTTGGGAGTGGGCAACTTGGAAAGGTTTTTCAGAAAGAGCCTGGAATTGATTTCCTGTTTGGAACGAATGCGATCAAAGGTCTACCTGTGGCTGGGGAGGCCCTAATTGATGCGAGTGCTTGGATTGTGGGCAAGAAGATGATGGTTGGGGTTGCAAGTGGACCACTTGTGAATTCGTCGGCCGAGGTCAGTATCACGTTGCCAGCGAGCGCTTCCTCTGTCGATCAAGTGCTGTACGGAGACTCTGGGTGGACTGTTACTGGTAACACACTCTCGAAAGCGGGAATAAAGGGCTTGGAGGTGGGCATCGTGGTATTAAATCTCAGTTAAGTCTGGTCACATCTGGTCACGTGTCCTCAACATAAAAAATCTACATTCCAGAAGGCTTCGCATGCTGCAATGCAAGGATCAAAGTACTTTCTTGCATTCCATTTGTCCAAAATACCCGTCTGCATCTCTGGTGGGGTACCTCTCAATCGACTTTTGTCGCCCTCTAACTTTAGTTCTCCGCACTGCATTGACTCCGCTGAGATAGTTTTCCATCCACAGACAAGTTTCAACCTTCAGGGATGAGCGTTTTGATATGACGCCCAAAAGAGGGTTCATTACCCTACTGAATCACCCATGAAGGAGGGCTCTTCTTCCGGCTTCCAGGTTGTCTTCACGCTTCGCTACTGAAACCTCATCTCTACAAGTATCGGCCAACCGGTTGCTTCCAAGTCGCGAAATTGATCATTTTGAAAAGATTACAAGGAACCCAAACGAAAGTATGATTCGGTGTGGCTGTTACTGCCCAAAGGTAGCTTCTTCACAAAAGGCGAGGATTCTGCTAACCAGGTCTGTCAACTGCAGATGACAGAGAGAACCTAGGTTGCAAACTGGACGGATCTTGCTAAGAAATATGGCCATCCCATCAGAGGGGATAGGATGGACCATACGGTTTTACGGCACACTGGTAAAAGTGGAATAACACCTGTGGTTCGCAATCTAGTACGTGGAAAGTGGACAGCAAGGGCAGCAAACGACAAGCTTGAGGAATATCAGAAGTAACGGGTATTGGGTTCACAAGTCAAGAGTTCAATCTCATGGAATGCTTGACTCCATTAGCGCTCGGTAAAATGGAATGGGGCTGAGCAATCTCATTCATCCCGTATTCGCGAAGGAACTATGGTGCACAATTGAGGAGATACCAAAGGAGAGGGCACCAGCACCGATCTTGGGTGACTCTGATGGGATTTAAACCGTGGGTCTCCTACTATGTAGCAGATCTCTACTCCAGAGCTGAAAAGGGATGCAGACAGAGAATCAAGCTATATGGAAAATGATGAGCTCGCCTTTGCCGCTCGCATCCCTCGTGCTCTGGAACTCAGCCTCCTATCCCTGGTACGCTCCAATTCTTTCCATCGACCGAAATGTATCACCTGACACATTTCAGGCTAGATGCACTATTCAACAACAAGCAACGCTTAAAGTTCCAGGAGAGAAAAACCAAGAATACCGCACCTTCAAGTACAGAAAATCACAAGTCGCTGCCAAGACTCCCCAGAGAGAAGCTTTGAAGAAGAAGATCCTAGAGGCAGGAAAATGGGTTAAATGGGAGTTGTACAGCGGGTACGAGGACTTGAGGCCGCAACGTGGATTTGCTGAACCGTTTTATTCGTCGGCAATCATGACGTGGCGCGAGGAAGACAAATTAGTGAAGGGGGGTTTGGGGATCTACATAGGATATGAGCAATCTCAGCCGCTTGTACGAGAGGACTTGCGGATGCGAAGAGGCGAGTCTGAGAATCGGATTTGCTCACATTGCTGCCAGGCTAGACTAATAATGCTTCAATGTGCTAAGTTCGCAGCCCAATTTCAATTCGCGAACACGTTGGTTCATGAGTTGCCGTAGGTAGAGTGACTTCATCTGTTCAATTGTCGGAGACTGCAACTAATTCCGTCCCCGGCAGCTACATACGGGGATCACGTGGATCGTTTGGCAAGTGATGGTCAAGCTCGTTGGGCTTGCATTGTTTGTTAAGGGAAACGCCCATCCAAGGCCTGGGGTGATAGATTCTCCAGTAAACCTCCTCTATTCAATTGGGATGAACTAAGAATGGCTGCTCCGAAGTATGACAACAAGAATGAGTAAGTACGAAGTATTAATATTCACCTTTAAACCGCAAGCGAGACAAGCGAAGCAACCCCTAAATTTGCGGCACAGGATGGCTCATCAACCTGTGATAATATAACTGGAGAACATGGCAGTCAAATAATGTGCTCTTATAAGTTCAAGAAAGATATTGCGCAACCTCTCATGTGCTGAAACTTATTCATATTATTCGAATGAATGACTGGATAAGGGCAACATTTCAAGCAGCGCACAACTCGCGCCCAGCACGAAGGTTTCGAAACCAGGATCAACCAAGAATCCCAGGACTCTGTTCTTTCATAAAGTATATAAAATTTGTTCTATGATATCCTGGAATGCTCTGGCTGAGAAGAATCAATTTCCACCACTTCCTACGTAATTCCGAGCTCACGTCCGCCCGGCAGAACCCAAAGAAAAACTAGCATTGCATCCATTGGAGACCAACAATGAATCTGATGTGGCCATCTTACTGAGGCCCACAGCTAGCTAGTCGACAAAACAGAGAAGCGAGATTTGATTTTCTGATTTTCGATTTCTGATTTTCGATTTCTGATTTTCTGATTTCTAATAACCGTACGTACCTGCCCCTCTATTTTTAGGATACGCCTTACTATTACTCTAGTAATTTAGTACTTATATTACTAAAAGTGCTTTATAATAGTAATATATGACCTGAACTTATAATATATTAATACTATTAATACCTTATTTAATTATATTAAAATACTATAATACTTTATAAATCTTTTACTATATTATAATACTATTATTAAATAGGCTTATATAAACGTTTTCTATAAAATAATTATAATAAGATTAAAAGATTTATAGAAAATTAATATTAATACTCGTATAATTAAATACTAATTATAAAAATAGAATATTTAAGTATATATTTAAATAGTAAATATGCCTTTTCTTTATATATAAATTATAATTCTATATTATCTAGGAAATATAAATAAGGAAATACTTAAGAATCTTAAGAATTATGGCTATATAACTTTAATTACTAGAGTTATTTATATATATAAGAAGCTTAGTCTTATTTACTATATAATTATAATAAATAAGCAAGTAATAAATAAATAACTATTTATAATATTATAAAGTAAGCTAAATAATAGATAGGTTATAGGTTATAAATAGTAGTATTTATATATATATTTCCGTTAATAAGATTTACTAGTAATCCAATTAGCCTTTTTATATTTTATTATTTTACCCTAGTTTAGAAAATTAGGGCTTTATTTATTAATATATTTTATTATTTATAGAAAGAATTTATATATAATATTATAACTTCTAGATCCCGAGGCAACTATACTATAAATATAACGGATATAATCTAAGAAAGAAAAATATATTATATTTAGGCCAGACTAGATTTAGTTAATTAATAGATATAATAAGCTATTATTATTTAGAATCGAAATATATACTTATATTAATATTTATTTATATAATATTATCTAGATATATATTAGAATCTCTAATTAGATTACTTATTTAATTATATAATAGTATTTTTAGATTTATACTCAAATAGGCTATTACTCTTACTTTTTTAGAGCTAATTAAGGCTCTAAACTTCTTCTTATTACCGAAATATATTTTATATTCTTGCAAATAGCTAATTTATTAATTATATATATAAAGAACTATTTTATTTCTGGGAAAAGTACTAAGAATTAGTAATATTTATACCCGTTTATTAATACGAGTGATTTGGGAATCGGGCACTATTAGGGCTAATCAAGGGGCCTAATTACTTAATTATCTATTTAAGCAAGCTCCGGTTTATAAATTCGAGATTAGATACGAGCGAATTTTAAAAATATTATAATATTTTCAAATTAATAAATTAATAAAATTCTATTAGTAGGATCTATTAAAAATAATTTAGTTAATAATACTATTTAAGTAATTTTAGCTAAAGCCTTTTATTAGAACTATATATAATTTTAATTATAAAATAGTTTTTTAAAATATATAATTATATAAATCTTTTTATCTTTAATAGAATTTAATCTAGGTAATACTTATTTAAGTTTCTTATAAGTATTAATGCTTTTTATTTAATTAAAATTTAGCCTTTATATTTTATTAGAAAGTTATATATTATTTTAAAATTAGGCCTTTTTATTAATAAATCGGGTCCCTTATTTAGCTCTAATAATACCCGATTCCCAAACTATTTATATTAATAAACGGGTGTAAATAGTAAGTTAAATTCTAGTAATAGGAGCTTTAGAAAAGCTAGTTATACTAATAATATATAAGTAATTTCATTTCCTTATATCTATTTCTTATTCTTTCTATTATTAAGAGAAAGTATTAGATACTAATAATTATACTACTTTTTTATTAAGGCTATTAGGTCTAGTATTATAATACCGGATTATATAACTAATTCTAATTAATATATATAAAACTATTTTTAGGAACTAGCTTATACTAGAAGTTATAATTACTAATACTTATAAAACCGGATTATTTTACTAGTATTTTATATATAGCAGATTTAAAACAAGATATATAAGTTTATAAACTTATAAAATATTTATAGAATTAGAAAAAACAGATCTAGATCTAATATAATAGCTAGTAAGCTATTTAGATTATATATAAGACCTTTAGATAAGATATAATACTAGAATTATTCTATAAATATAAAGCTTTATAATATAATTCTTAATAATTATTTAGTTTAAAATAAGTAATATAATCTTATATAGCTTTATATAAATAGTTTATTTATATACTAATATAGATATTAATAAGTTTCTATTAAGAAAAATACTAAAGTAATATTATTAGAAACTTATATCTTATAATATAAATATAGCTAATATTTATATAAGAAATACTAATAAAAATAGTAATATTAATTTACTAGTAATATATAATACTATTATATAGGTATAGAAATACTAGTTATATTAGTTAGTAAAGTTATTATTATTTAGAAATAGGAATTATAATATTATAGTATTAATATATGATTTCTAAATTTACTAAGCCTAAAAGAGTCTAGTTTACTAGTCAAGTTATTAATAGGATATAAGGTTATATAATTATATCTCATATCTCATATCCTATTACTTATATCCTATTACTTATATCCTATTACTTATATCCTATTACTTATATCCTATTACTTATATCCTATTACTTATATCCTATTACTTATATCCTATTACTTATATTCTATTACTTATATTCTATTACTTATATCCTATTACTTATATTCTATTACTTATATTCTATTACCTATATTTTATATTCCGTATCCTGTAATTATATATATAACTTTTAAAGAAATAGCTATACTAATACTAGAAACTCTCTAAAAATATAAAAATAGTATCTTTCTTTAATTATATACAAATTCCCTAATCCGGCCTAGTATTAGATTTCCCAAATACTTTATATATTTATATTATTTCTAAGGTTTTAGTTATATACTAAAGGCTATAGTCTTTTATATATAACTTTCCCTCTTATAATATTCTTCTATTTTATATATCTATTTCCTATCCTATTTATATTTAACTTATTTCTTTATATCTAATTATATAGTATTTATATTAATTAGATACTTAAGGGCATTTATTAGCTTTAATTTTATTATAAAATTAGCAGGATTTAATTCTCTCTTAATTTATTTGACTTTTATAATCTCTTATTATTTATATATCTAGTAAAGGTATATTATATTAATTATTAAATACTTTTCTTAAGTAATTCCTAATTTAATAAGACATTTATATAATAACTTCGAATCTATATAAACTACTAGTAGTAATTCTATTTCTAGTATTTTATTAATTATAAATTTAATTAAAGTACTTATATTAAAGCTATAAGTTATATTATAGAGTTCCGAAACTAGAATACTTCTAGTAATTCTCTTGTATTTAGTAGAGAACTAGTAAATAATATTAGTATATCTAGTTCTATTTATTAGAACCAGAATATATCCGATTTAGGAAAAGAGATCTCTATTATTTATAAATAAAGTATTTATAAAAATAATTAAATATAAGAACTTCTTTACTAGCTTTATAAATCTTAGTTCTCTAATAGTATTCTTAATTTACTATTAAATATACTTATTAAATGCCTTTATATTAGTTTCCGAGGATTTAATAGCTTAAATAGTAATTAATAGATTATATAAAGCTTCTAGTTAATAGACTAATATAATATATATTTTTTTAGTATATTAGGTAATATATTAGTCCTTAATAGAAAGATCTTAATAAATAGTACTCTTACTATTTATAATAGTAATATTCTTTATAGAAATAATTCGGAGGTTTTTATACTAGTATTTCTATATAAGAATAATTCTAGTAGTATTTATATAAATAATACTTTTATTAAACTTGAGATTATAGTTAATAATAAGACATTTATACTTTTTAGCCAAGAATTTAGCTTCTTAGAGCTTTAGTTATTCTATTTTTATAAAATTATTAGTTCTAATAAATAGAGTATTATTAGTTTAAAGGCTAATAATTCCGAAGAATTATAAGTTAATTATTTTATAGAAAGCTCATTAATATAATAAGAATAATAAGTTTTAAACTAGTAATTCCCAGCTTCCGGTATATTATATAATAGTTTTATAACCTTTAAAACCGAATTATTATTTAGATTTAGCTCTCTAGTAAGCTTATAAGATAAGTTAATATAAAAATTATAGTTAAATAAGGTTATTAATTAGATATAAGCTTATAAGATATTATATAAAT